TGTGGGTCCCACCTAAGAGCAGAGCACACTATGAAGACACACAGGGCCTTCTCCAGCTGCCCCCAGACTGCTGACCTTCACAAGTTACTGTTGCCTGACTTCCCTGGAGTCAAAGCCAGGACATGTGCGGCACTGTCTTTGTCCTTGTTGCAACATTGTCCGCTTATTCACACCATAGGACAGACCAGACTGGCAGAGGAGATTGTAACTCTGACCTTCACACCAAAGGCAGCTCCTTTTGCAAACTTAGAAAAGCTGAGGGAGGCAGCGTGGCAATGGAATGAAGATGTGGGGAGGTACTGGAGTAGCTGCTTCCAGCAGCTGTGACAACAGCCCTCGGTGAGGCCAGAAGACCATGCAGAGCACTCCCCCCTGTCCAGAGCCCCTTGAAGGGACAGCTTGCAGGTGACCCCAGACTTGACATTCAAAAGAACTTCAGACTTATAATTTGGAGATAGCTGTTAAAGGGAGATTTTTGTCAAAATCTCAGAGGTCAAAGTAAGTGCTTCCTTGCTTAAGCAGCTTTTGTCAAGGTATCTAATCAGAAAAGTAAGTGAGACAGCAGGGCTCCACACCAGAGGAGAGTTTCCTGACCCCTGCAGTGTCTCTGGTGGAACTGTGAGCCTTGGGCAAGTTCTTAAACAGCTCAGCATCAGAATCAACCTTGGAGAAATGGAGGATGGAGACTTAGCTGACGCTTATGGCTGATGATACTGTTATTGCCAAGTGCTGCTGGTGTCCATGAACCCATCTCATGTGAAGGATAAGATGCCACTAAGGACGATAGCCACACACCTTTACTTAGCTATTTCTAATGAACGCGTACCACTTCCAGCACTGTCCAGCACTTGCCAGAACTCCTGGACTGTGTGTTCACTTCTCATTTAATTCAATGTTCTGTTTTCAGAACAGTCTTGTCAGCAAGGAGTGACATAAAGCTGACCCGAATAAGCAATAGGAAAATCCTGCAATCCTGTGGTTTGGCCATTTCATGTTTATTAAGCACCCACTGCTGATGAGCACCAAACAACCTGTTCTGTGACTTAGAGTGTGTGCTAGGAAAAAGAGCCAGATCGAAAAAACATTTGAGAGATCCTGATAATGCCCTCTGATTAGAGCTGGGATCTGGCGGGGTAATGACCCAGCATATTCGAGGCCCTGGTTTCCATCCCCAGAGATGCAAAAATAAAAAAAAAAAATCAAACAAAATGAAACTCAGAATTTGAAGCTACAGGGGAAGAAAGAGTCAGTTTTGCCAGAGCTGGGGTCGGAATCTAGGAGCCCCAATTCTATTTGTCTTTTATTCAGAGCAATCTTAGCTTTTCATGGGATCTAGTGAGAGGTTTGTATGGTGTGATAATTAAAGCAGGGCAATCAACTGCCCTACTTATCATTTCTTTGTGAGAACACAGGCCAGGTTTTAGGGAGAGAGAGAATAGAATTCAGGAGGACAGTCAGGCTCACCATCATACAGACATGAACACTCCTGAGAGCCACAGAATTCCAGCTCTGGCTGGAAGGGAAAAGCTGGGTGCCGATGATGATGCCCTGTCAGACACCTTCCTTGTGAAAGTGGAAGCAATTCTTTTAGCTGCTGGTGATAATGCCTAGATTTTACACCTTGTGTTAGTGTGGATGCATTTATATAATGCCTTATAATAAGGGATCTCTTAGATGGTCTAATCGCTGCCTTCCTCTTGCTAACCCCAAAGGTGAGAAAAAATAATAGTAATGACCTTTACTTGGTGTGAAGCAAGAGAAATCTGATTCCGTGTGAGCCTCCTTTTAAAATCCCGACTTTAAGTCACAGGAACAGTGTGAGAGGCAGAGCATTCCAGAATCATGTTCCCAGTGTGTCCTTTCATAATTGCCCATGTGTGCCTGCTTTTGTTTGTTTTTCTAGAGTCAGGAAACACACTCCCAGCCTGTTTTCTTTCTACTTAATACAAATGTTCTTGTTCCCCTAGAATATTCTTACTTCTCATCTTTCACAAATGTCAAACGTCCTATTGAACAATCAATGGGCAATTATTGTGCTTCAGCTTTTCAGTAGTGCAGCCAGTGTCGTAATGGCTGCTGCTGTGTGTAGATCATATTCCCCTGTCAGCTTTCCTTAATTTCAGAGGTTCCCGCCTTCATGCTTTCCCTTGTTTCCCTCCCATTCCTTTACTCCACAAAGCCGTTTCAGTATGCATTTAAAAAACTGAGATTATAATTTGATTAGCACATTTCTCTTTCCCTTTCTCCCTCTAAACCCTTCCATATTCATCTCCTTACTCTCCCTCAATTCAAGCCTCTTTTCTTTTGAAATTAATTATTATTTCATCAGCATTAATCTTCCCCTTTTATTGAAAATAGTTTTTTTTCTCACAATATATACCCTGATTACAGTTCCCCTCTCTATCCTCCTCCCAGTTTCCACCACATCTCCTCCCACCTAGGTCCACCTTCTTTCTGTCTCTCACTAGAAAACAACAGGCTTCGAAGGGATAGTAAAAAATAAAATACAAACTAAAACATCAGAATAACACAAAACAAACAAACACAGAAGAAAAATAACTCAAGAAAAGGCACAGGCACTGATGCAGAGACTCACTCATTCCCACGTTCGGAAATCCCAGAAAACACTAAGCTGGACACCATGATATATACACAAAGAAGCTGTAGGATAAAAAGAGAGAAGAAAAAATAAAATAAAAATAAGATAAAACTTAAAAAGAAACGGCCCTGCTATGACACTGTAACACAGGGAATCTCCTCCAGAGGTTTCTGTCCGCCTTAAGAATAGTTTGTTTCCCCAGTGAGACTCCCTTGGAAAAAAATACATTTTCATTTACAAATGGAGATTTCATTTATCAGTTGGAGATTGCTTCTGGAGATGGGGGCCTTTATCCACTCTTCCTTTCAGATCTCGGACCCCGTGTGTTGCAGGCCCTATCCATCAGCATACCTTTTTAAACATTTTACCTTCTTCAGAAAGCAACTTTACCAATCCATCAGTCCAAACACTTTTTTTTTTTACTGCTAAACTTTATTTATTTTGCAATATAAACTTGACAGTGTTCAATCTATATAAAAATGTCTATCTTAAACACCTTTGGAAACACCACATAAATCAGATGCCAACTTGTATCATTGTACTGATACCAGTGATCTTAACCCAGATGAAGGCTGGTCTAGAAGAAGGATCTTGCATGAGGAAAGATGCTCTTGGTCCTAAATCCTTCATCAGTTATAAGCTGTTCAGCCATACCATCAAAAGGAAGCCATATCATCCTCTTTTCTTGTGATCTTTTAAAAAAGCCCTTTGTCCTTTGAGTCCTCCAATGAAATGCATTTCCCAGAAGCGGCATCTACAGCCTGCCCTCATCTCCTCTGGTTTTGAAAATGCTTTGCTGCTTAAATTGCATTTTTTAAAGCTTGTTTTTAAATTTGATTTTGCTAGATTTTTTTCAGCTGGTAAAAGTTGCCTTCTTCTTCTTCTTCTTCTTCTTCTTCTTCTTCTTCTTCTTCTTCT